ATTTTTAACTGTTTTCCAATGTTTGAACTATTTTTGCATAGACTATAGTACAAAGCAGTGAAAATCGTTAACAGACAATCGTTCGATGGACTGAATTGCGCAAAACGCATGATCGCACCGGCTAGTCTGGTGCGCGTTGCTGTTTATATCTTTTCGTTTTGCAACAGATAACCAAAAAAAAAAAGATACATATTTTACAATGCGGGCACCGACAGTTGAATATCTATTTGATATTTAGATACTGAAATACTTCAGCAGAATTATAAATGCTATTTTAAAAGCGAATAATAGTTGATGATAAAGAATACTGGAAATAATAATGACTGTAACTTATAGTGTTTAAGAAAAATTAATAATTTGGTTGAAATTACGAAGTTTTGGATCACTAAGTTATATGCGTCTTAACTCAGCACCACAACTGGACAAAAGACTGAAACCTGTAGTATTTATCAAAAATTAATAATTTGAAATTACATTTTGAATCACTACGTTATATGCGCCTTAACTCAGCATCACAACTGGACCTCATCAGCTACAAACAATAGGTGAAAAATCACGTTGCAATAATAAAGCAAATAATAACAGTAGCAATGAAAATGAATGTGTTAAAAAGTAGCAGATATTACATTGACAATGCTTCTTGTTAGTAATCGTAATATAATAGCAATGGTAAAACTCATGCTAATGATAGAGATGTAAAAGTGGTCGGTCAACGGCAGTTTTCACTCATGGCGGCGTGAATTATCACGTCAAGTTTTCGTTTTTCTCCCATAAATTTTTACATCTATCTTTCTGTAGGCACTTGCCAACCTTTAAGGGATATGATCCTCAGTGAATTAAAAAAAAAACACCTGGAAAAGGGGATAAGAGAGAGCTTCAGTTGTCTTTTTCGAGCTTAGAAAATACCCCGGGTTTTGTTGCACCTGGATCGGCGAATTCCTATTTTTAACATTTTTCCTTTTTTTTTGAATTTTCTAAAAGCTAGTGTTAAAAGAGTATTGTCTATCTTATGTTCCTGAGGGCTAATTCTTGTCAGCGATACGTGGGAGTAAAAATATTTGCGTAAATTTTTTTTTGAAAAAAAATTAAAAGCATTCAATGATTACCTGTTGCAATGGACCAGCCCCTTGCGTAGCAACAAGACCATTCGCACCACTGCAGCATGTTGCAAGAAGTTTGAAACCTTTCTCGGCAAGCGTATCACATGCCTGCAATACTGGCACTTTGAAGGCTTCCATCTCATCGTTATGTTTATTCTTTTTGTTGAAAAAAAAACTTTTTTTTGAGTTTTTTTTTTAGCTTTTTTTTTAAAAGAAAGGCAAAGAAATGAGTTTTTAAGGTTTTGTAAGGTTGCTATGAAGTTTTTGCTTACGGTTTTTCTTGCAAAAATTGCTGTGAAAATCTGTCATGGTGAGAGTCCGCGTGAGTTGATACTAGATGCACCTGTACCGCACAGCTTTGTGCTGAATATCCTTTATCGGCCTTGTCCACTCCCTACATTTGTTTTCCCAGAAGACGAGTAGAGAAAACATTTCTTACCCATAACAAATATTTCTTTATACCCCTTTCCCATTTTATTATTCTTTTCCTCCTTTTCACTGTTTCCTTCTTCTTCTGATATTTTCTTTTCAACCTTTAAAAGGTCAGAGGAGCGAAACGTGCGTTACCTTTTTATCTTATTTACTGATGCCGAAATTATTTGTAGTGACGGTAAAATGCAAAAAAAAATGAGTTAAAGTTGCAAATTTTAGCTAAAACGAATTGCTTTTTCGGTAGTAAGACGTCATTTTGTGCAGAAAGCACTTTTTTTCCAACAGCTGAGCATCTCTTTCTATCAAATATGCGCCTTCACATTAGATTTTTTCGTTTTTTAGGAGACGTTGGTAGTGCTATGAGCACACAGCATAATGTAACTAGCCCTATTTTAAAAATCAATTCGAATTGAATGCAGTCAATTTAAAATGCTTTAGACGAAGCAAGGTGATGCAAAAAAAACGTCTTAATGGACCGAAACACTTCTTACTATTTAGTAATGTATACGACTTAATGGACCGAAACGCTTCTTACCATTATAATAATCTCACAGATTTTTTAATTTTCATTTCTCACCTTTCTTTTTTTCTCTTTTTTCCATTTCTCTCT